CAAAACTGTGATACAATCTCAGGACCAAAATCGACTCAGGGGGCCTGTAGAAAATATATATAAGATATAAAACATCAATGTATGCACGCATCCTGTGCAAGGGTGCATGCATTCATGCTTTCAGACACCAATTGCCACTACTGTCTTGGATTGTGGGGGTTGGATTTTTCTTGAGGTGCTCGGTTAGGGCAGGACTGATGCAAATACTGATAGACATGCTTCAAGCGAATGCTCATGTTGAGGCATTGTGTCAGTAGACTTCACCTCACTGTAGCAACACACCAGGAGAGGACACCCTTGTCTTGCCTTGTTCCTTGCTATCTGAGGATGCATTCATTCTTTGGGCTGCCCAGCATGTGCGACTTGCACGACAGCACAGGGAACAAACTTACAGGGGTTGGAAATAGCCGCACCTGTCATCGCCATTCAATCACAAGGGTGCAGTTTTCACACTCCCAGGCAAATGCGACAAACCTTAGTTGAGATTGGACCTGAGGGACTATGACGTTTTTGAGGTCATGTTGCCAGCAGGACAAGTGCACCGATGCCAAAGATGCAGTCACAAACGTCACGGCCCCTTAGGCCCAATCGGCAACAGCTCAAGATTGCTTTTTCATGCATGCAAACGGGTTTGCCCTAACAAGGCTGTCCTAGCAATTCTACAAGCACAACATCAAGGAGTCCAGAGTATCTGCAGCTCTGCACACCACTCATGAGTCCCATTGCCAGATTTGATGGCTTTGGGTCCAAATGGACAATTCCAAGGCTAAGAAAGCAAGACAGTTCCAATAAGAGCACCACTGTCACACCCATGTTGGTGTTCCCAGCGCCTCATGGGGTTTCACACCATTCCCAAAGTGGTTTCTGACAACGATCGGTGCCGAACAGCCCTCGCTTGCAACATGCAAGGGCTCGGCCTTGCCTCTGACGCAATCTTCGATCCACTGTATGAAGGACTTCCCAATCCGTGTGTGAAGCAATTTGTTCAATCCAACCAACTCTTGACAGTCCAGGTGGCACAAGAAGCCATTTGGCAAGCCCACGCACTCGGACCCGCCCTGGAGTGTGCAAGCGTCCAGTTTTCCCACTCTGCCCAACCAAGCAAGACACACAACCGTAGCAAATGTGATGTAGCATTTTGGAACTAAGAAAAGAAAAGAAAAGCCAGACACACAATCCAAGCAATTGGATTCATGGGATCGGCCGTCCGCACCTGCACACACCACTTGAGCCCCGTAGCCAGCCCGTACCTCGGGCCCCTCACGTTCCTGGGCTCCGATCTCAACAGGTCCTCCATCGCACCCCCTTCAGCGAACTCCTGCAGCTGGAAGGGCACCAGCCGCTCGTCCGACCGCTCCAGGCCCACCCCCTCGTGCCGCACGATGTGCCTGCGACGCGCCGCAAATGTACCGACCCATCGGCCACCACACTCCACAAACCTAAACTACGAGCAGCCGCCTGACAAGGGGAAGAAAGGGGGGAGCGGCTGCGCCGTTCTCATTCGGGGCATCGCTGGGTCGCCGCAGCGCGGTCGAACAAGTTGCTAACTCCCGTTTCCCTCTTTGGGCTTGCTTCTCCAATGCGTGGCGTCCCGGGAGCGGAGCCGGGGGGTCGCGAGAAACCCGCCACCCTCGCTGCACCTTCGCAGCGCGAGTCTCGCAGGCCCAACCCACCCACCCACCCACCCACCCACCCCACTTCCCCCTTTCCGAACCGCTTTTGCGACCGTGCACCACTTCTCCTCCCAAGAAGCGATCAGCCCTCCCCCCTCCCCGTTCCCCACACACGCTTCTTTGCGGCTAGGCATTCTCGGTCCCACACTTCTGCGGTCACGTGACACCTTACAAAGCCGCGCCCCCCCCCCCCTCCACCCCACCTTTCCTCGACCACACCCTCGCCGCCAAGGACCCACCCCTCCACCCCCCTTCATCTCCTCCCAACCATTCTCTCTTCTCTTCAACGCGCCTTCCCAGTCCTGCGAGCTCAACAGTGCGCAATCCCGCCAAACATTGTGACCTCAACTTCTCCCGTCAGAAAAACTTGCGCCGTCAGATGCTCCCGGCCGACTCAGCCCACGCACTCGCTCCCACCACGCACCCTTCCTCGCGCCGATCGGAACACAAATCGGCACACATTGATCGATTTACCCAGTGCAGTGACGCAGACTGCGGTACTTTGAGCGCGTTGGGCGCGGGAACGACTTGTTTGGTTCCGGCGCAGTGGGTTCTCTTGCGAAATTGCAAGCTCTCCCGCAGGTTCTATTGGGGTTCGGGGCTGGCAAACTGATGAGGGGATTGGGAGTCTCAGCGAAGGGCGCACGGCGCTGTTTGCCCTCCCCTCCACTTCCTTTTGCCGCACACACCATCGGGCTCCAACGGGCCATCAGTCCCACCCCAAAACAGCCACAAAAACCAATCCCTCACTTCTGCGACGGCCATTCTCCCCCTTTCGCTATCATACATTGGCTGCATTCAGTAGCTGAAGGCAAGCGGGACACACAACTCCGGACGCACCGCGCACGGATGGGGCATGACTTCCAAAATCGAAACCTTTGCACACAAAGCGATCCCAGTTCGATACAAAAACCCCCCCCCCCCCCCGCCCCCCGTTTCCCCACCTGTGATCCAGCTTGGACAGCAGCATCGCCTCTGACATAAACCACCGTATCTGCTCCTCGTCGTCTGCCGCCCACGGCTTGAGCTCCTTCCTCGCCACCGCCTGGCCCTCCCGCGTGCACTTGGACACCACCGCGAACGTCCCCTGCCCGATCTCATCCTCGCTCTCGACGTCGGCCGCGGGCACCCACCGCAGACTCTCCCTGGACGCCGTGCCCCAGCCGTAGGCTTCCAGCATGGGCGCGCTCTCCCGCGAGTCGTAGTAGGGGCCTCGGCCATCGACCTCGATCTCATTCCAGGCATCGATGGGCAATCGGGGGTGGGCGGGGACGGGCTGATCGTCCGCCATGGCCCCCCCGGTGGACAGGCCCGAGACTGGCGCAAGGCCGGCTGGGGGGCGCCCGCTGTGACTGGGACTGGCGCAGGCACAACGGGCTGCGAGAGACGCCCACTGGCCGCGGGCGGATTCCGCGGATTTGATGGCGGCCTGATGGGCGGGTGTTAGAAGACATGCGGTCGGGTTTACCGCGGTGTGACGCGGGGGGTGCGGTGATCTCCACGCGACGAGGCCCTTGCACGGGCACAAGGGTTAGCTGAGTGTTTTTTTAAAATCAAAACACTGCATTAAAAAAGAAGGAAACAGGGCCACCTCCTTCCCTTGCCTTGAGCACACTTCTTTCCTTGTGTTGCACGTGTTCAGCTGCAACTTGCCAGGCGGTTGTTTATTGCAGATAAAGCTTTCGTGAACGGTAAGAAAAGAGCACAGTCCTGGGAGGGCCATTTGGGACCGTTTTGGCTCCGAACACGGCTGCCTGGAAGCTGCAAGCCGTCAGCAAATGCGGTGGAAGGCGAGGAGCGTCCAGGGAATTCACAGGGAACCGGGGCTTCTCGACCACCCTTCTCTCTCAGATAGGCGACGATCAATCATCCCAACTACTTTAGGTTGAATGGTTTAGATTTGGAACCCAAGGTGAGAAGCGCCCCTCCTGGCGAATACGCTGTCAGCCCTGTACACTGGCGACGCAAACAGCGCCACAGCCGCCCAGTACGTTGCTGCTCCCAGCAGAGCGCATGGATCACGCGATCGGGGATAAGGCAGTTCCCTGGTGCCGCAACGAGACGATTGGTGCTTCTTCCCGCGTTCCGGTGTTTGACTGTTTTCAGATGTGTCACCCGCCACACCACGTCCGGACACGGACCAATATAGCCCCCCCTCAACGGGAAGAGGAAAGATTGAAGGGAATCTGCTTTCATGCCTTGGTCAGTGTTATGACGCGGAGGCGGCAGTGACCAGGTTCCTGTTGAACAGGGCAATAAACCCGTCCGATAGATAAGGACTACATGTGGGAAGTGAAGGGGAGAAACCAGTCAGGCTCGCTTGGCCCTCTTCATGGACTCTCATTGCAAGGTTCCAACATCAACTGCTGCTGCAGAGGCATCTGAGCTGGGCGCCAAACGACACTCGAGAAGCATGTGCACGTGCCGTCCAAGCGCCAACCGCAGCACGGGTCCATGCTCGACCGCAGCCGCAGCAAAGCAAGTGACCAAAGCATGACGCAGTCTGAGCAAGTTAGGACACGAATTCACTGTAGCGTACACGTGGACCCACAAAGGGGAGCACAGCAGGTAAGGCTTAAAGTTCAGTGGAAAAGTCGGAAAAGAAAAATAGAAAAAGAATTAAAGGCAAAAGGAATAGAAAAGAATGGAGACAGACAGCCAGCTGTGTGATCTCAGCACGACCAAGGAGCAGTCATGTGCTCACCCGCACTGTCGTCTGGGCCCAAGTCCAAGCAAACAAAATGCAGAGGTCGCCCTCACTGCGATGCTTTCCTGCATAACTCCTTCGGCGCTGAATCTTTACATCAAGTGGGTTCAAGTGGCATCACACAGTGAAGATAATTGCACAAATTCTCGGGCCCCCTTCCCTCGCGGTCGGAGCGCCGACGCCCAAGGCCAGCGGGCGCCGCCCAGTGGCCTCCTTCCCAGATTCATCCCCAGCAAAAGTTGCCGGCCCGGAATCGTCACGTCAGCTCAGAGTCGAACGCCATTGCAGCGGCCATGGCCCCAAGACCCAACCCGCCAGGCCCCTGTCTCCGATCTTGAATCCCGTCGCCAAGCTCCCCACCCGCCTCGCCGAGGGAGCGCCAGAAGTTGTCCTCGAGCCGCCAGGTCGCGCCCGCCAACACCCCCCTACCCCTCTCAAAAATCCACACATCCCCGATTCACAAAAGATTCCTGCATCCCCAGCGTCCAAGGCCCACCAGGAATGTAGCACACCGCCGCCGGCGCCAATCGATCACCCCAGTCTCGAAAGGAGCGGAGAATTCTTCTTTCTCTCCATGATCGCGGCGCCACCCGGCGGAGCAGCCCAAAGATCGGCCCTCCTCACGCCACGGCGAAGGAATTGTGCACGGTCTCCGCGTCCACCCGCGGCCCGCCCTTCATCCACCGCTTGTCCCCGCACTGCACCTTCTGCACGTACAGGTTGCCGCTGCCCACGGCCGCCGTGAGCAGCACGTGGCGGCCGCCCTCGTTGCCATCGGCCGACCTCACGAAGAGCTCGTACTTGTAGTAAGACTTCCCCTTCTTGTCTTTGGCCGTGGCGACGTCCAGCAAGGACGCCGAAGACACCTTGTTCTTGGCGAATCCTCCCTCAGACTGCGTGTCACCGTCGCTGAGCCACACGGACTCCCCAAGGTAGTTGCCGATGCTCTTCAAGAACGCATCCGGGGATCCGTACCCTTCGATCGAGCCGCTGCTCGCCTTGGTCTTGGTCACCAGGACGTGAGAAAGCGGCTCGAAATTGTCCTCCCACCTCATGTCGATGTTCTTGAAGTCCCGCTCTGGCGACGGGTTCCACTTGGAGGGCAGCAGGACGACGTAGCCATCCCCGGAGAAGGGGATGAAGCCCGACGGGTTGGTGATGGAACCGAAAACATTGGCGGTCTCGCCGTAGGCGGCCTCAGAGGGCTTGGCGCCGGCCAGGATCGCCACGCCGCCGGCCACCATCCCCATTGCTGCCCTGCGGCTCACATCATCAGCCTCTGCGCGAACCGACACGGTCCTCGGCCGGCATGCCGCCATGCCCTGCGGGCATTTCGGCGCCACCTTCTGCCCGGCGATGGCCTTGGCGGACGCCAGGGGCTTGGTGGAGCTGAGCGCCATGGCTGCGCCGCTGCGGTGGTGCGCTTTGGAGCGACGGGGGGTGCGTGCGGGCGGGGGGTGTTGGCCTGAGCAGCCGCCTTTGCGAGGGCGTTTGAGGCTGAATACGGGAGCGGGAGATTGCTGGGGGCCACAGATTTGGAGATCGGGGGGGGATTGGCGGGGATCCGGGCAACCACTACAGTCAGCACCGGGGAACGGGAGGTGGCGCATGCTAAAAAGCGGCTGAGCACTGAGTACACTAAAGCACACGCCCGACGGTGCTGTGCACGGGGAAATAATATCACTGCCTGCACCAAATCGGTGACTGCTTGCACCAAGTCACGTGCACACTTTGTCCTAATTCTAGGGTTAGGTTTAGTTTCAGGGTGAGTTTAGGGTTAGGGTTAGGGTTAGGACAGGTGTAGGTTAGGTTTAGGTTTTAGGGTTTAGGGTTTAGGTTAGGTTTGTTTTGACGGAGTTGGACATGAAATGCACGTGACTTGGTGCAAGCAGTCACCGATTTGGTGCAGCCAGTAATTTTATGCCGTGCACGGGGGGGCTCCAAGTTTTGTGACAGAACGAGAAAGAACTGGTCACAACACAGTGTGTTGAGGGCATGAAATTAGTCGCCCTGCCTTTTCCGTGAAGATCCCTTCTTGTTTCGACAGCCTGATCCCTGAACCACTGACCCACTCACCCATGCTGGCCTTGTCAGCGGAAGAAGAAGGGATCCTCGCGGAAAAGACGGGGGGACTCGCACATTCTGGTGTGCTGTGCACCAGACGGGGGTGGGAGTGGGAGGGGGGGTATGGTTGCCGCGCGCCACACCGCCATGGTTGCGGCGCAATGCGCCACGCCACGGGACGGGACACACGGTGCTGGAGCTGGTTCTGTGGTGCGTGGAAGGCGAGGAGGCGATGCTCGCGGCGTTTGGTCTGCACATGTTGGTTTGTATGAATTGTTGGGGTTGAGGTCTGGCTTGGGGCTGGAAACAAAATAGTCCGTGCGTTTAGAGGGTGTGTTTTACGATGAATTTTGGAATCCATTGCGCTTTTATCGTTCATCGGAGCAGAGCTCTCAGTAGTTTGTTTTCGGGCGATTCTGTTGCCACCAAGTTGTTGAGATTTTAAGACAGTGAACAATGCAAAATTCGTCCACGCGGCAAAGAGACGTATATCAGTATACGAGACATCTTTTAATATGGTACCATCTAATCGAATTGCATTTGACGCCATATGCTGTTCACTGTTGAGATCTTCACAAGCTGCCCAGCAGTTGCTGGTGCTGGAGTGTTGCAACTGTAACACGAGAAGCATTTGTAACTTTGTCACAAATGGAAGAACAAATCAATGGACCACAAGGACGTTGTTGCACGTGATACGTACAAAGCCTCCATGTGGTCCCAAAAACACTCTTCCACCCGCTGGGTAAGACAAAACTGGTAAGTTCAGCTCACTGACCGCAACAGCGCCCATTTTGGGTCATGTATCTCTCTCTCAATATAGTCATACCCGTGGCGGTGCTTTCATTTGGCTCTGGTGAACCGTCGCTGTGATGAATTGAAATGCAAAATAACGTTGTGAGCAGTCGTGTGTGTTGCATACAGGAAATATACGCGCAGTATTTGAGGGCGACCGATTGTTGCAGACATCTTGATGTGGGGACAGCCTGGCCGAAGAACGCAAACTAGTCCATATCCTAATGACGGAAATTTGTTGCTGCGGACGCGCTATATGCCATGATGTGTGGGTGGCTTGTACTCAACAACTATGCGAAGTATATCCTGCAATAGATGAGCAGAGTGGTTGTTTCCGCACTCAAGGGCTTGAGGACTGCGAGTCGAATTAAGAATAAAACGGAATCCAATCCCTTCGCCGAAAACGCGGGACCCATCGCCACGCGATTTGGTATTCCAAACTGGCTCCAAAATATTGTTGTTGGGGGAAGAGGGTAGGCTGGCGAGTCTATCACTGCCCGGAGCATCAATCTTTGGGAGCAATTTTGAAATTCCATTTCCATAATCAAGCACACTGACCACATTATAAGGCCCTACATGTTATTTCCAAGACGTGCTGCCATTGGTGCCGAGCGCTCACTGACAGCGAAACGTTGGGCTGGTAGCCATTTCCTCTCAAAGAGCCTTCGATTCCTGCAGTGTCATGATCGATGAGTTTGTGGGCAGTGTTTCCCGCGTTCCAGCGGCAATGCAGTACGTTTTCCGCTCCACCGGTGAATGAAAGAAATCCGTGTTCAAAGCACTGACACTGCTCGCCCAGCGTTAGACTGCTATAGAGGGCATGTCGCAGTGTAAGCGTGCTCGAGTGGAAACGCTTAGTGCAATACTTGGCACTTTTGCGTGCCGCCTTTCACCAGCGTGACGCGAAGTGCACACGCAATTGCGCCTCGACGTCGGCTTTGCTGCGGCCTTCATGTTTGTACATTGGACAGGATCGACGATCATCTTGTTTCGCAGGGATAGTTTGCGTGTGGGAGAAGTTGACCATGCTTACCACTACGAGGCCATTTCTGTGTCTCCCGACGAGTTTCACGGTGGACATCAGCACGAAATAGCCCGTTTTACACAATTTGATTGTTACCGAAACCGTGCTAAGTCGCTGAATTCGTTAGTGGGCAATGTGCGAGCACCAAATAGGACCTGCTGAATCCAGCCGTGCTGGTCTCGGCCACCATGCCCCCAAGTTGGGTGTCCGCAGATGTTGCATTACAAAGTACATCGACATATACATTCCCTTGTGGAAACATGAGATCCTTGGAAGCACCACCCTGCATGAGAATGTCGGGTTCCCTCCCCTCGTTTACTCTACACGACGGGTGCGAATAGGCGTGTGGGTGGGTGGGGTGGGGTGGGGAGAGCATGAAATCAGCCGCTCCGTCTTTTCCGTGGACATCCCTTCTTGTTTCGGACACCTAGCCTCAGAAACCACTGATCAGCGTTGGCCTTATCAGCGGAAGAAGGAAAAAGACAGGGGGACTGATATATTCTCAGCGGGGAGGGGTAGGGTGGGGTGGGCGGGGGTTACAGGCGAAAAAAACAGGTCTCTTACCAGCCTACTAACCCGCTCAAGCATTACTCTTGCCGGTCCATCCCGCGTGAAATCGCCCCGAGTTCTCGCTCCCACGGCAGCGGGCGCGAGGCGCCCCGAGGGGAGCCACCCGACAGACCGGGCAGCGCGCCCTCGGCTGCTCCCAGAGCCGGTCCAAACGGCAAGTTCTGGGACGGGGACCAAGGCCGGTGGCCATCATCACCCCAGGGCTTTCCCAACCCCATCTCACAGGGAGGGGTGCTTTGAAATCGCCCCGCCCCTGCGCGTTTGCATCCTTCTGCCGTCCCTGGAAGCCGGGTCGCCCAGCCCTTTTCCCCGCCCCGGCCTGCCGCCAGGCCCTCCATTTTGGAAACATCGAATCAAGGGCCAGTCCGCAGCCAAAGATCAGTGTCCGAGATGGGGAGCATCTGTGCCCGACACGCCGCCTGGGCGCTGATGCTGGCCGTGATGGCTGTCGCCGCCGCGGCGCCCGCAGGTAAGACCCCACGGCGGGATGGCCAATCGGCTGGCCCGCCATTGGCCCCGCCCAGTCGAGCTCTCACGAGAGGCATGCGACATTTTTTTGCATCCACGACCTCCCCGGGTGCATGTTCTTGCATCTGCCGTTGGCTATGCTGGGCTGGCGCCCCACGGCGCAATGGGCAATCGACAAGCCAGCAATTGGCCCCGTTCAGCCGCGCTCTCCTCAACGGCAGGCGATAATTTTCCATGCTCAACCTCCGCGGTTGTGCGTGCATATCCATGCCGTTGGCTGACCTTGGCTGTGGGTGGGCATTGCTACCCGCAGTGACAGGCGCAGATGCGGGCAGAGCCACCGAGTTGTGGGTGCCGTGGTCGGCGCCTCGAGTGGGAGGGGAGGGGGTCTCGGCGTGGTGGTGGGGTTAGCACCGGGGGTGGGGGGGGCCTTTGCCCGTTCGTGTCCGGCTCATTACATGATGATGCCTAACAATTGGCTGGGGCGATTGCGGCGGCCGCTTACACCAACACCCAAGTCCGCGCACTGCTGTAGCCCTCGACTTGAAAGGTTAATTGGTGCAAATAAGGGCGTGCCGTACAACAGGGACGGCTGGCATGCACATGGCTCTTCATCTATTGCGGCCTTGCCTGTGAAAGCCGCAGTGCAGTCCCTGGGCTTCAGGATATGGTCTACAATGGTCTACAATGCAAATGGTCTACAATGGCGACTTTTGTTCTGTGATCGATTGCTTCTGGACAGTGTACTTCAAAGCTCTGGATAGTGTGCCATGTCAACCCGGTGTTAGATCAGTACTTTTTGGCCTCAAGAATGGATAGTTTTCTGGAAATTGTGCCTTCATTTTAGCATTAAAACACGTCAATCACGTCTGCAATTTTCCAATACTTCTTTTCTGTAAAAATTGCAAGACTCGTTGGTGTAGACTGCGCGATTTTCGTTTCAATTGACATGGTCAACTGTGCTGAATAGAAAAAGGTCCTCATCCCATAGTAAATGTTTAAGAAAACATGCCTGAGCTGATGGCCAAAGCTAAGATGTGCAGAAGCTGTTCTAGCCCTTGTGGATGGCGAAATTCAAATTATGGTTGAGTTAAATGCGGATCGTCAGTCGGTGAGATATTACATATGTTGTATCAGCTTCCTTTCGTGCTGCTGTATGTCCAGATCGTTGAATCCAGTGTCCCCTGTGGGAAAGGTGTATTTCATTTGCGCAACAAATAATTTATCTTATTTAGTTCGGATTTTTTTACTGATTGTGTTGCGAAATAAATCCCTGCATCCTGTGCTGTGCTGAATGCTTTTCTCACAATCCACTCTTTTGTAAAATGCATAATAACGCACCATTGCAATCCATTCTTGCAGGCCAGTGTGTTGTGTTATAATTGCGGCATTGTTGATCATTTTCTGGTGAACCGTGTATTTGATATATTGATTCCCTCATTTGCTCACTCCTCTGCAGGGTCAAGCTTTTCTGAACTTTCT